ATTGTTCCCAACTGGATTCCTCTGTTTCTGCATTGTATTTTATTGTCATACCATGAACTCTCCCCATTTAAATGCTTGTCTTTTCTGTCCATGCTCCATAACCGGTTCTGCTGTTTTTTCTACTGTTTTTAGGAATCCAGTTTGTTTGGGTTGTGTTTTTTGTGTTTTTCTCTGCCTCCACCACCAGGCGGCGCCCTGTCCTCGTTGGTCCTCCTGCACACCTACGGCTGGTTGGCTTATCACTGAGGACTATTTGAGCAATGGGCTGTCACTACCTCGGCGCCAGAGTGTTTGCCAGTTTTGGGTACTCTAGCCAAGCTGAGTTTCGCTGAGTCTAACTTAGTCTTTGTTTTCTGTTGAGCCTAACCTTGTTTTTTGTGTTTGCCTTTTCGGCAAGAAGCCTTCCTGCAAGCTGGATGTTTGGCCTTCTCCCCCTGGAAGGATTGTTTGAGTCTCACACTGAGCAGGGGATTAACCTCCACAAGTTCCTTTCAAGTCCTCCTGGATTACCAAGTGACAGTCTGCTCAATACCTGCTCAGGGTCAAACCAAGGCTATACCTGTCCTCCCTCCAATGAGTCTCAACCTCTGGATAAACCCACACCGAATGGATTCTGGGAAGAAAGTTTTCTCCACTAATGTGAGTCCCATTTTCTCTGTCTCTCCAAGTCATTGTTCAAGGTTCCCACGGATCCTGAACTAAGCACTGATAGTTCCCTTCCCTCTTGCAGTTCCGGTTCACCAGTACACTGTATTTCCTGGATCCAACCCCCGCTGGTTTTATCAATAAACCTGTTCAAACCTTAACCCTGGTTCTCTGAGTGGTTTACTGCATGTGGGTCAGATCTTCTAAGAAAATCATGACAACTGTAAGTTTCTTTCCTGTTGGTTCTTTTTACTGTGCCACAGAGTTCTAAAAAATACAAACTCTCTAAGGTGGGATCCAAAGAGTACCAAGGGCAGGCCTGACTTTGTTGTGTATTAGGCATTCCTTTGCTCTCACTGTGAATCATTTTCTAATGCAAGCATTTTAAATTTCGCCTAAAATCTAAATCATAGTTTTTTATTTTATGAAAGGCTTACTTCTGACTTCTTTAAATTAACATAAACTATAGAAAGAGATTCAAGAATTCAGTCGTCATCTTTAATGATTAATGTCACAACAGATGAGTTTGTATAGCACGTTTTTTGGCTATTGTAGTTTTGTTTATGTGTTATTTATAGCAGGTACCCTGTTCTGAATGGTCTCCATTACTCCTAGAGATTATGTTCATTAGATTAAAAAAATTTTGAAATTAAAATACAAACATGTATGTAAACCATCCTTTTCTTGAGTTGTTTTGCCTAACAATACACCTATCACATTTTTAGACTTTCTTATTCTCTTAGCCACTTATCTTTGGTCTAGTATTCTTCTCCATCCCTCTCATTCAGTAATGATGCTCATAGCTCCTGAGGTTGTTTCAGTGGTCACTTTAGAAAAACAGCTGCACACCCAAAACAGCACGTTAAGGATTCTGAAGAGTGCAAGGAAATGTGAGCTCTTCCCTCCCATCCTGCTCACTCTACTGGCTCTCAGTGCCCAGTTGGAAAGCAACCCAGATCTTTCTTCCCATTTTTAGTACATTCATGGCAATGTATGCCTTTGCCTTTTAGCTCTCTTCATCCGTTACACTATAACCAGATCCTGCCATACTACAAACATCCTCCTACTAAGACCCACGCAATAAGAGACACAGCTTCCTGTTTTGCTGCATCATACCAATGTAGCAGAAGTATCAAGCAACAAAGTACAAATACTTCGTTATCTACTAAAGTAGAAATTTTGGCTGTCTATATTTTACTGGAGTAACAATTTTTAGACAACTTTTTACTTCTATTTCTTACATTTGTTTTGCAATTATCCCTACTTTCTACTCCTTACATTTTAAAAACAGAGCTGTTAGTTTTGTTTCATTTAAGCTCATTTTCATTATGGCTCATTTCTGTGTAAAAAAAAAAGATATATACACTATATTGCCAAAAGTATTTGCTCACCTGCCTTGACTCACATATGAGCTTAAGTGACATCCCGTTCCTAATCCATAGGGTTCAATATGACGTCGGTCCACCCTTTGCAGCTAGAACAGCTTCAACTCTTCTGGGAAGGCTGTCCACAAGGTTTAGGAGTGTGTTTATGGGAATTTTTGACCATTCTTCCAGAAGCGCATTTGTGAGGTCGCACACTGATGTTGGACGAGAAGGCCTGGCTCTCAGTCTCCGCTCTAATTCATCCCAAAGGTGTTCTATCGGGTTGAGGTCAGGACTCTGTGCAGGCCAGTCAAGTTCATCCACACCAGACTCTGTCATCCATGTCTTTATGGACCTTGCTTTGTGCACTGGTGCACAGTCATGTTGGAAGAGGAAGGGGCCAGCTCCAAACTGTTCCCACAAAGTTGGGAGCATGGAATTGTCCAAAATGTCTTGGTATGCTGAAGCATTCAGAGTTCCTTTCACTGGAACTAAGGGGCCAAGCCCAGCTCCTGAAAAACAACCTCACACCATAATCCCCCCTCCACCAAACTTTACACTTGGCACAATGCAGTCAGACAAGTACCGTTCTCCTGGCAACCGCCAAACCCAGACCCGTCCATCAGATTGCCAGATGGAGAAGCGCGATTCGTCACTCCAGAGAACGCGTCTCCACTGCTCTAGAGTCCAGTGGCGGCGTGCTTTACACCACCGCATCCGACGCTTTGCATTGCACTTGGTGATGTATGGCTTGGATGCAGCTGCTCGACCATGGAAACCCATTCCATGAAGCTCTCTGCGCACTGTTCTTGAGCTAATCTGAAGGCCACATGAAGTTTGGAGGTCTGTAGTGATTGACTCTGCAGAAAGTTGGCGACCTCTTCGCACTATGCGCGTCAGCATCCGCTGACCCCGCTCCGTCAGTTTACGTGGCCTACCACTTCGTGGCTGAGTTGCTGTCGTTCCCAAACACTTCCATTTTCTTATAATACAGCTGACAGTTGACTGTGGAATATTTAGGAGCGAGGAAATTTCACGACTGGATTTGTTGCACAGGTGGCATCCTATCACAGTTCCACGCTGGAATTCACTGAGCTCCTGAGAGCGACCCATTCTTTCACAAATGTTTGTAAAAACAGTCTGCATGCCTAGGTGCTTGAATTTATACACCTGTGGCCATGGAAGTGATTGGAACACCTGATTCCAATAATTTGGATGGGTGAGCAAATACTTTTGGCAATATAGTGTATATAAACCATCAAAATAATTTGTTTCATTCAGACAATGAATTTGTTTGTAGTTGGACTTATACTTATAAAATAAGTATAAGTATAATAAGTAAAATAAGTACTTATAAAACCAAGAAAAGGAAGTATAAGGAAGTGATCATCTAGAATAGTAGAAACATTTTCCTTTAATAAGGTAGTGCAGTAAAGCTTCTGTCCTTAAAATTTTTCCTGTATTACTTTCATACTTTAAGTAGTTTTAAAAATTGTACTTTTACACTGTTTAAACAGTAGGATTTATTCTTCTACTTGAGAGATAAACATTGATACTTTTGACACCTCAGCAATGGAGTAACATTCCTGTGACTCCTTCCTTTTGAGAGACAATCTTTACAGTGTTTAAAGTTTCTTTATTGTTTTTTTATCTGTTTGACAATAATCAATTGTTAGTAACGTTATTATTAGTAACAGTTGTAGTGGTAGTATTTCCAGAACCCAGCTTTTTATGTTTATAGTTTTTTTTTAAAAGAATTTCCATCCTGTCTGAGTGATCAACAGTTATTGTTTTCTTTTAATTTGTAATTTCCGTTAGATTTCCAGGGTAACAGCAGCAAGAAGTCAAATAAATGTAAAGATACAAATGAACACATTAATTTGAAAATAATTGCTTTTACTGTAAATGAAATACAAAATGAAAAAAACAAACACATAAAAGAACATCAGCTGAATGCGAAGTTTTGTGTGTTCAGCTCTATTGAGAGCTGTGGTGCTTTAAAGTGAAAAACAAACACAGTTTGGATGCAGAAGCCTGTTGCTGAATTTCTGTGGGAGAAATCAGCCCAGGTTTATGGCAGTCTGACTGCATTGTTTGCTTCTTTAACCATCTGCACTGGATAAAGGGAATATCCTAAGACAGATTGTTTTGTTTTTTCTCAGTTAATGAAAGGCTGTTGCTACAGCAAACAACACCAAAGTCAAAATGGTGATAAGCAGCAACCCCTAATCTCCAAATGACATTTAATTAACATTTGCAAGCCCCTTATGACCATGAAGATGGTAAAGTGGTGGATGAGTAATTCTTTATTAACTATTCATTATAAATTCATCAACCCATTAAACACTATATATATACTAACTTTTTTAAGAATTAGTGAAAACATAATAGATTGCACCGAATAAAAATGCATCAACATACATTTTTAAATTTTGCTTTCAGTATATATTAAAAATATCTTATAATAAAGTATACTATTTGTTGTGGAGAAAATTTATATATGCACAAAGTCCTGCATCTTTGTAAAACATCTTTGTGATTAATTAGAGCAGATCTGAAAATCTGATTCCAGAGACACATACCAACACGTATGTGAATATATATTACAAATATTAAATTCCAGTTACATTTTCTTTTCTTTCGTTTTTTTAGTTTTTCTTGACACTTTTTGTATGATTTTTCCATTTCCATTTTATGCATTTAAGTAAAAAAAAAAAAAGGGTATGTGTTCCAGCAGTTCAACTTCCACAAGTAGGACATCCTATCTGAACGATAGTGGCTGCTGAGTTTCAACATCCTCTCAATAAACCTGATTGGGGTTTAATCTTTCACTCACTATATGACAGGTAATTTCTTGCAGACAGGTTGAATATAAGTAGCTGTACTTGTTTTTATTGTCTAAGGGGAAATCCATCAACCTGAAAAACACTTTAGGCAAGAGGTTATGTGGGTTTTTTTTATTGTTTTTTTTTTCTTTTATAAGTGCGCTGTTCACAGTCATATCAAGAGGATGCCCTATTTGAGTGGTTTAAAAGCTGGGACCTGAAAAAGAAGCAAAATATTGTTATGATTATGTTCAACAAAAAAAAAGATATACAAAATACAATTCTAAAGAACTTTACCTGCAAACTGTGCTGTAAATAACAGATTCACTTTGGTAGTCCATCTGCTCCCTACAAGTTGAACTGTGTGTTAGTGTCGGTATCACTTGTGCAACACAAAGCTTGCACTATTCATTAAAATGAATTAATTTCTCACTTGTTTGGCACTCGATTCGTTTGGAATTCAATAGCTGCATAAATTACTTCTGTTGTTGTTTCTTCAAATATAAGATCTTCAGATTGAAAACAGTGACTTCCTCCATGCTGGATGGTAGCATCTATCTGCTAAATACAAGCATAAAGAAATATTATAAATTTGATATATAGACAAAATTCAATAAAAAATTGGCAAATAAAACAGTTAATTCCCAATAGAAAGTATTTATCTGCCTTTTATTTGGGATGACTCAGACACAGGTTTGGGTTATTTAATTTTGCTCTAGATCATCTTTACATACTGTATCTAAAAACTGCTGACTGCAATATAACCCAAAGAATCAAAAAGAAACACCTGTCTTTCCTCCTGATGTGCTGCTTCTGTTGTTTTACTTTTGTTTTTGGTAATCCTGAAAAAGAGAAACAGATAAAACACAGGTGCTGGTCATTAAATCAGAACATCATGAACAAATAATTTTTTGTCATTTATTTCAAAACCGGAAACTTGCATATTATATTCATTCATTGCACACAGACTGGTGTATTTTAAATGTATATTTATTAGTATGTTGACCAATATACCTGACAATTAATAAAACCCCAACTTCAGTGTCTTCAGAAAATAAGAATATTGTGAAAAGGTTAAATCTTGAAGACACCTGGTGCCAAACTCTAATCAGCTTATTTTCTTAAAACAGCCATAGAAGCTGTCCAATTGTTTCTAAGTCTAGTTCAGTTGCTACACAATCATGGGGAAGACTGCTGACTTAACAGTTGCACAAACGAGGATCACTGACACCTCGCACAAGGAGGGAAAGAAACAAGAGGCCATTGCTAAAGAGGCAGGATTTTTTTCACGGAGTTCTGTCTCCAAGCATAATCATAGGGAGGTGAAGGGAAGAAAAATATTGCTAGAAAAACGTGCAAAAGTGGTTGTGATAACTGCACCCTGGAGAGGATTGTGAAACAAAACCTGTTCAAAAATAAGGGGGAGATTTCAAAAGAGTGAAATGCAGCTGAAGTCAATGATTTCAGCACCACCATGCACATCACAGCATCAAAAATCTATAACCAGGATTAAAGACAAAAAGGACTAGACTGCTGCTGAGTTGTCTAAAGATATGTTCTCCAATGTAAATACATTTTGCATATCCTGTGAAAATCAATGTCCCAGAGTTTTCTGTGGTCCGAGCTGCAGCCTGCAGCCTGGAAGGAAGTTTTACACTACATGCTTATTGCTGCTAACCAACTTTATGGAGATGCAGGTTTTATTTTCCAACATGACTTGGCACTTGCACATACTGCTAAAGCTACCAGTACCTGGTTTAATGACCATGGTATGTTCTTTGTCAGCCAGGAAACTCGCCTGACCTTAACCCCGTGGAAAGAGGTACTGTGAAGAGGAAAATGCTCTACACCAGACCCAATAATGGAGATGATGACCACTATCAGAGCAACCTGGATCCTCATAACACCTAAGCAGCGGCACATTTAATCGACTCTACGCCACATTGATGCACTAATCCAGGCAAAAAGGGGACCCAACTTAGTATTGAGCGCTGTAACATACTTTTTATGTTCATACATTTCATTTGGCCAATATCTGGAAACACTTGTTTTGCCCTAAACTTAGGTAATATTCTAGTTTGCGATTCTCATTAGTTGTCAGTAATAATCAACATAATTAAATTAAATAAACATTTATTATCATTTTGATGAAATACATCAGTCTGTGTGTAATGAATAGATATACAAGTTCCCCCCAATAAATTAATTTGCAAAAAAAATTGTTTCATTTTATGACCAGCACCCATATATAGTATTTTTTTATTACAAAAAGAGAATATAACAAATTAATGTACATTTTTACCAAGATAAATAAATTTAAATGGTAATATAATATCAAAAGCCCTCTCACTCTACAGCTTTAGAAACATTTGATCCTATAGCTAGGGTAAATGTATTGATTCCCAAGTTTGAAATATATTTAGGCTTGAGCAGGGAAAGAGCTGCAAAGGCCTATTGTATTTCGAATATTTATTTAATTTGAATTTAGAAACAAATTGTAAATTGCTTTATGTGGATGGGTAACATGGAAATAAGAAGTCATTATAGATCAATAAAAGTGAAAGCATATATGGATAAAAACCTTACCTACAAACAGCAATAATAGCAGTCATGACTAAAACAATGGCAACTGTAATGGTGACAAGTACATCTCTCAGAAAAGTCCAGGCTGTGGAACAATAATAATTTGTCAGGTCTGCTTCAAACAGGATGTAAGACAGCAAAACATGTTGAACTTTAAAATAAATTATCCAGCGACATGTTTATATGAAATAGATACCAAAGTGAGATACTCACTTTTCATCTTCAGGGTGAAAACAGTGGAGTTCTGACTTCCATGTTTGTGGGAGACGCTGCATAAATACTGGCCACTGTGTTCTGGAAACATCTCAGCCTGATGTCCAACATTCAGCAACTGACCATCAACTATTTCAAACCAACTGTAATTCTGCACAGGGGGCTGTGCATCACTGCTGTAGATCAGGATGATGCTGCCATTAGTGTCTGCTTCAGATGATGACCGGATGAGCACAGATGTGTTTTTGGGTCCATCTAATAAATAAAAAAACAGTAAAAGGGAGGTATATTCATCATTCAGCCGAACAACAGACCCATATATTGCTGCCACACTGAGCACATGCGGCCTAGCCCTCATATTCTACTTATGCAGTAAAAAGTTGTCACGGCTGGGGACACTCAATACTTTCTTTTATTATTATTATTATTTTCTTAAAAGTAAAATCATCAAATCATTGGCTTGTTCACGTTTGTAAGGTTGGTTTTCATCAGCAAGTGAAAAAAAAATCACAAAAGTACACTACACACAACATATGGCTTATACTTATTCAAGGTTCTTTTTAAAAAGTCCCCTAATCTTGTTAGCATTATTCAGAGGCAGAAAATGGGAAATTCTACAGGTATCAGAAGTATTTTGGTTGTGAACTCACATTCAACATCAAGACGAAAGACTTCTGAAGTTGTGTCCTTTTGCACCTTAAGGGAGCAGGTGTAGTTTCCTGAATGTTTAGTCGACACATTTGTCAAATGAAGTACATGGCCTTCATTTATGCTTTCCCCATCTTTAAACCAGGAGTATGCAGATGAGGTATTGATGTCATCACAATTGTTGATGCAGGTAAGATTCACTGAATCCCCTTCTTTAAATGCTTCTCCATCAGCAGTTTCAGCTAAAATGTTCAGATCTATAAGAGTTTGAATTACATTTTACTTTTATATATCCACTTATTTGATAAAAGTAGCATAATTTTAAAACAAAGAAAAAATAACTCACCGGTGACCTTTAAAAATATACATTTATTGGGGCATCCTTTGTTGTTGTTGTATCTGAAAAAATATTTTCCGGCATCCGAATGCTCCACTTGGTGTATTTTCATAGAGCAGTTGTGCTCCCTGTCTCCAGTGTATTCAAACTTTCCAGAGACATTTCTTGACTGATTTAAAATTAAATGAACTTTAGATAACCTCAAATGACCCCATATGAATCGCTTTTCTTCATGTCTTTTCGTATCGTTAAAAAGACAAAAAAAGAGAACAGAAGAGCCTCTCACTGCACACGCAAGTTGCTGGCGGCACTCCATGTTGCACCTCTTGGAGAAAACACCTGAAAAACATCAGTTTTACATTTTTTTTTATAACATAAATTAACTGGAAAAAAAACATAAAAAATTTATTGTATATACCTCCTATAAACTGAAGCAGCAGGGTCCATAGTAATGTTCTGCTTCCAGCTAACATATTTGAATGGAGTCCAATCCTCAATGTTAGTTTTTTTTTTTTACTTGAACAGAAGCTTTAACTTCTAAACAGTGAACAGCAGGCAATGTCTTTTCTAGTTTGTGCTTTTTGATTTATCACCAATGTGCAGCTTCCTGTCACGAAAAAAAAAAGGTTCTCAGGTCAAAGTTACATTTCTCAGACTGTAGAAATCAGGTCACTTACACAATACCTGCTTTAGCTCCTCATATTTGAATAGGAGATGTACGAAATCTCTATGCAGGGACTCACACTTCATGCACTGCAACCTGGTGTTCCTTTGTTGTGGTTAGAACATGGTTAGTGCAGGGTTGACACTGTGATGTTTTAATGGGTTTTGTGGAACATAACACAGCGTGCTAACAAAGTATTAGTTTTACTGCTGATGATGGGTTTGTACATTTGTTCTTAATGGACTCTACTAGTCATTTCTTAGGGGTACAGTTCTGCCTGCGGTTTAGAAGGCTGTTAAATCGTTTAGAGATTAAAAATAGAATCTAATGTTGTTCCAACCTACAAGTGTCCTTATCCACTCTGAACTCCAGGGATTTATATGAACATTCAAACCTTGTAAGTCACTCCCTACAGCTTTTTATTGATCATTAATATTTTAAGTTCTAAATATCAGAATTTATCCGAATATGCTAAATATGAGCACAGTTTCATTTTAAACTTCTAGCAGACACCCTCCCTATCCTTTCTATTTAAAGTAGATATGTCACTGTAAAAAGTTACTTTTATGACCGCAAATGTTATTAGTATATTTTTTTAGGTTTGATATTTGCACATGTGCATTATTCATATCAGTACAACATATAATTGAGTGCATTATACTGTATAATATAAGATATAAGACAGACGGACGGACAGACATAGATATTTTGTTAATCACTCTAAAAATATTAACTCCATTTTTTTTTACTTTTTTTTTCTTTAACAGCTACCAGCCTACTGAAATTAAGCCCATATAGTGTACTACATCATGTGTACAGTATAGCTAAGGGATAATGGCTCAGTAAGGTTATGGCCGTGGGAAGTGGGGGTGCCGGGGTGCTGCAGCATCTCCTAGTGGCGAGAGGGAGATTTTTTTTTTATTATTTATTAAAAATACCTTGCCCAATTTATAAATTTCTTTTGAATATTTAAGGAAATAATTTTGACTTCTTTGTATTTTAATTTTCGAATTTGAATTATTTTGAGGCCTAATCAACACAAGCTCACGGACGTTACGTTGTCGTGGCAACATCAAGCAAGCAAGAGCATGATATCCAGTTTATTGCAGCAGACTAGTACATTTACATAGTCTAATGACAGAAACACATTTTGGATTTTTTTTTTTTTTTTGGAAAACCACCACCATTGAAGAAGAACACTGGCCCAGCCCCAGCACCCAGCACAACCTAGCATGATTGGATTAGACAAGACCCCCCAGCCAACATCCAGTTTCAAATTTCCTGGATTGCGTTGTGGTAATGAAACCTTCTCATGGTCTGTGTCACTGGCTTGGTTTACAAGATGGCAGCGGCTGCATTATGTGAAAGATCGTATTTTGTGTTTTTTTTTCTTCTGAAAGCTGTTGGGAAAAAAGTCATACCTAGAGACAAAGAGACAACCCCTTAGTGAATGCCAGCTCTTCAAATTGGCATAAAGCCACTGAAAATATTTCATTGTGAAGTTTGATCAACTGATTAATGTGACTAATGATGTCTGTTTGTTACAGACCCTGGTTACGCGCATTGAAGTGTATATGACAATAAAGTAGTGAATCTCAATCTATTTTTTTATTTTTATTTATTTTAAAAAGGCATATATATAGAAGAGAATCAGGGCCACTGGAAAAAAAAATGTAAAGTTAACTGATTTTTACATTTTACTTCAGTATGAGAAAAAAGTCAGAATTCTGACTTTAATCTCAGAATTCTGACTTTAATCTCAGAATTCTAAATGAATTCTGATAGCTAACATACATGTTAGCATCAAGCCGTAGCCATGTCTATTTTAGACACTAAATTAGCTCTCTCGTTTTAATCACCTTATGCTCTTCCATTAATGAAATAGCATCACTTGGAACCCCTCGGACACATAAAAAATTCTGAGATTAAAGTCAAAATTCTGAGATTAAGTTCTGAAATGTTCCCTATATTACACTGAAATAATATTCAAAAATCAGTTAACTTTTTTTTTTTTTTTTTTTTTTTTTTTTTTGGCCCTAATCCTCTTCCATACATATAGGCTCATAGGTCTTCTCTCCAAATAAACAAACAACAACAACAACATAAAATTCACAGCCCCCCTGATCAAAATGACTTCCAGTGGCCCTGGTAAGGTTTGGAAATCTACAAGTCATGTTCAAAAATATATATTTTAACAACCTACCCAAAGGAAGAGCCCAAACAATTGTCAATAAACAGATATTCAACAATCCTTCATATTCCTAGTGAAATAAAATAAAAAATACGTTTTCAATGTTGGTGTTTTCTTTCTCTCTCTCTCTATTTTATGACGATAACAGGCTATAACTGGGGCGATGATCTGGAGCCTATAAAAGGAGCCCAGACAGTGAGTGGTCTCAGAGAGAAGAACCAGCAGCCAAAGTGAAACAGGGAGCAGAATTAGACCCCTGCTCTCAACATGGAGATGACTTCTAAACTTCTGCTTCCAATCGTAGCGATTTCCCTGCTCATCACCTGCAGCCCGTCGGAGGCTTGGTACAAGCAGGTGACCGGACCGAACTACTACTCTGTGGGCAGGGCGTCCGGTTTGCTGTCCGGGATCCGCAGGTCATCATCGTTTGTGAGGAGAGAGGAAAGCCCATCAGAGAGCGCAGAGTCAGCAACCAGCAGCGTCTTATCTCACCTACTCTCTCATAACTCCGTTTTAAAGACCATGGTCAGTGTGAATTTGTGTACTTTGCCAATTTTTCAATGACATTTTATTTCTTTTTGTTTTAACCGATTGGCAGAAAACTCTATTTTTTTCTTTATTTGTTTTTCTTAGCCTACTCCAAACGGGAGCTGTCCATTCAGCACCACTTCACCCGTTTCGGATGAACCATTAATAGCGGTTATCAGTCCCATAGAATGACCTCAGACTGCGCCTCCTCTACCTCCTAGTAGCTTTCTTAAGGCTTATAATATGCAGTTTATCTTTGATAACAGTCGCGTCTAAAATTCAAAAAATCTATTTATCTATTTATCTACTTTACTTTTTTTCTACTTTATTTACAGCCTACCATCTTAAAAAAAAAAAAACAACAACACAGTTTTTAAGCTTTACTTCAAGTGAATTCCACATGTTTCAGTCACAAATATTTAATGTGGAGTTTAAAAAACAAACTAAGTTGACAGGATAAGTGATTTATTTCTGGAGGGGTTGATTTGAGCGAAATGTTGATCAACTTTTTTTTCTTTCTTTTTTTTCTTTTTTACAATTGATGAACAAATAAAAATATGTTCAGATTACACATGAATATATTATTTAGTTCTGCGGGTAAAAAAAATGAATTACCTTAGGGTTAGGATTCATTCAGTGATAACCTACTGAGCCTATTGGTTGGGAGGAACACACAATCTGAAGGCATTCTATGGGACTGATAACCGCTAATAACGGCTTTTTAATGAGATGATAAAATCTGAGGCGGCTTAACGATTGCTTTTATAAATACATTTCATTACATTGATATTGTTCAACATTTGACTAAATATAAAACTAATATTCACAACTTTTTACCTTTATTTCTACAAAATGCCATCAAAAATACAGAAAAAAATTAACTTTTTACAAAGTTTAGATTTAAGTCTTAAAGCCTTGCAAGAAAAATCCATATACTGCACCGTGTTTTGATTGTGTATTACTTATAATATATGAACATCTAACATTTAGAAGAGACAGGTTGTTTACAGGAAATATGTTTTCATTTTCTAAAGTATGAATTTACACTATGATTAAAGATAATTGGCTGCTATAAAAGCGTTAGAAACTCATTGTCTCTTAAAAAACTGAAAGAAAGAAGGCTACTCATAGTTTTAGATATGATTTAAAAACAAATTTTCGATTGATCTAATTGTCTGTCTTAATTCTCTCCAAACAGCCTCTTTGTATTAAAGACATTACCCCAAACCTACAGAGCTGTGAACTCTTCGAGGAAATCAAGGGATCCTTGAAGTGCAAAGCAGATGTTTTCCTTTCCCTGGACTCCTCAGACTGTGACGGAGACTGATCCCTGTCCTTGGATCATGAAGCCATCTTCTTAAAAGGACAGTTTCAAAGGATGCCATGTTTATTGTGACAAATAATGATTTTGTTGGGAAACCTTTGTATTTCATGTACCTTTGTTAGATTTTTTTATGATGAAATGTATATTATTGTTTAATGTGTTAATGTTTCTATTTGGTCTGAGTTTTCATTAATAAATGGATAATTATGTGGATTGGGTTGAAAATATCACAAGCAAAAATAAAGCTGTCCTATAATTCTTCATATTTCATCACTTTGGCAATAACAGCATGGGTAAAGTTTGAATAGCCCTTAAGTTTGCAATCCCACACAGGAAGATGAAGCCCCAGCCACTGGTCTCTTTTAATGTGGAAAAAAGTTAAAAGAGGTGACTATGTTTACTTATGGCTATGTTTATTTATGCGAATGTTTAAACAAACGTATTTGGAAGTATTACCTTACTTCACACCATAAACAGGAAAATAGGTCAAAATAAGAATTAAGGAGGAAGTCACAATTTTCTCAATGTAAATTGTTCTTTCCAGACTTAAATACTCAAAATAAACCAAGCTGGTAGAAGCCTCACCATAACATATTGTCTGGCAATCTTCCAGTAGACATAAATCAAGATGCAGTTTCTTTAAAAAAAAAAAAGTTCAATCCCTTTGAATTTTGTCACATTTAGTCACTTTACATTTTCAGTATAGTCTTTTGAAATTAGAAATAATTACAATATATAGAGGTGTGTTTCTTAGTTTGAGATTGACATGTTTGCCCACTCTTCTTTAAAAAATAACTTGAGAATAAATTTATGACAACTAAATAACCATCACACATACACTAATTCCAAGCTTGTGCCTGTGACATTATGCTCCTCAGCAGGAACCTCTGCACAATCGGAAGTCTTTTAAAGCCTTTTAAGAGTTTTTTCTCAGGGAATACCCAGAATCAAGCTCCATCCATGTCCACATTAGCTGTAATTAGCTCCCTCAGCCACTACTTAAGAAAGGTATCCCCATAGCATGATGCTGCATGATGCCATTTTACTTTGCACTGAAAATTCTAAATTAAACTTCAATTAGATTCATAATTTTGACAAAAAAAAAAACATTTGCTCTATAATATATATATATATATACACTATATTGCCAAAAGTATTTGCTCACCCATCCAAATTATTGGAATCAGGTGTTCCAATCACTTCCATGGCCACAGGTGTATAAATTCAAGCACCTAGGCATGCAGACTGTTTTTACAAACATTTGTGAAAGAATGGGTCGCTCTCAGGAGCTCAGTGAATTCCAGCGTGGAACTGTGATAGGATGCCACCTGTGCAACAAATCCAGTCGTGAAATTTCCTCGCTCCTAAATATTCCACAGTCAACTGTCAGCTGTATTATAAGAAAATGGAAGTGTTTGGGAACGACAGCAACTCAGCCACGAAGTGGTAGGCCACGTAAACTGACGGAGCGGGGTCAGCGGATGCTGACGCGCATAGTGCGAAGAGGTCGCCAACTTTCTGCAGAGTCAATCACTACAGACCTCCAAACTTCATGTGGCCTTCAGATTAGCTATAGAACAGTGCGCAGAGAGCTTCATGGAATGGGTTTCCATGGTCGAGCAGCTGCATCCAAGCCATACATCACCAAGTGCAATGCAAAGCGTCGGATGCGGTGGTGTAAAGCACGCCGCCACTGGACTCTAGAGCAGTGGAGACGCGTTCTCTGGAGTGACGAATCGCGCTTCTCCATCTGGCAATCTGATGGACGGGTCTGGGTTTGGCGGTTGCCAGGAGAACGGTACTTGTCTGACTGCATTGTGCCAAGTGTAAAGTTTGGTGGAGGGGGGATTATGGTGTGGGGTTGTTTTTCAGGAGCTGGGCTTGGCCCCTTAGTTCCAGTGAAAGGAACTCTGAATGCTTCAGCATACCAAGACATTTTGGACAATTCCATGCTCCCAACTTTGTGGGAACAGTTTGGAGCTGGCCCCTTCCTCTTCCAACATGACTGTGCACCAGTGCACAAAGCAAGGTCCATAAAGACATGGATGACAGAGTCTGGTGTGGATGAACTTGACTGGCCTGCACAGAGTCCTGACCTCAACCCGATAGAACACCTTTGGGATGAATTAGAGCGGAGACTGAGAGCCAGGCCTTCTCGTCCAACATCAGTGTGCGACCTCACAAATGCGCTTCTGGAAGAATGGTCAAAAATTCCCATAAACACACTCCTAAACCTTGTGGACAGCCTTCCCAGAAGAGTTGAAGCTGTTCTAGCTGCAAAGGGTGGACCGACGTCATATTGAACCCTATGGATTAGGAACGGGATGTCACTTAAGCTCATATGTGAGTCAAGGCAGGTGAGCAAATACTTTTGGCAATATAGTGTATATATATATATATATATATATATATATATCAAAAGAAAGTTCGCTCAAGAAAACAGTCTATTAATTCAAAGTTGAACAGAAATGGCTCTGAGGAAAAAATATAATTCTGGCAACATTTCCTGACATTTTTTCTTCGGCACCCTTCAAACTAGACTTTACATAGCTTTCCTGTTGCATCTCATCTATAAAGGGCAGATGAGTGAACCTGATAAGCTGACCCGTTTGCTGTGTTCCTTGGTTTTTAAGATGCACATAAATTGACAATTTGAAAATTGACTGCTGAATGCATTAGGTCTTCTCAGATAATATTTTAGAGTATGTCATAAATAAATAAAAATGTATAGCAAATTAGAAATATCTGCTGAAAAATAAATTAAACTAGCTTTACATGTGGCCATTTTAGCTTCACTGTTAAGTTGTGACACTGTGGATTTTTGTTTTCCACATAAATCCATCATTGTCTCCATCCACTGCTCAGGTATGCACTCCATTTTTTTTCCTATGAGAACAAACTTCCCATGAAAGCAGGGCCTACAAACCAACCTGAATTGGTGCAGGACAGGATATGGAAATGAAATGACAAAATAAATGTTTGTGCCTTTAAATCTTACTTATAGTAGCTGGAATGCTTTAGTATCAAGGAGTGTTCTTTTTTTCTTTTTTTTTTCCTGGCAGGTCTGCACAGCGATAAAGAAAACGTTCTTCGATGATAAGGACTTAAATAGTTTTATTAAAGAAACACAACAGTTTAAAAAAGCACTGTCAGATAAATAATTTTAAAATGTGCTAAAACACAAAAATAAAATCTTACATAAAAATCATAGTAATCATCATGACGCACTGTAGACCTACAACATCTGGACAGATGCTAGGTTCTCTTTGATGATCTGATCAATAACCATGTGGAAAACAGCCTCCATGCTTTCAGTATCGGTGGCTGTGGTGAAGTGGTGGTACACAGGCCGGCTGGAGTCCATGTTGCAGGCTGAAAACATGGCAGCGATATGGTGAGCTGCAGCATCCACGTCACAGTCTGCTCCTGGACAGACAGAGAAAAAGGTTTGTCTCCTCAGTTTATTTGCTTTATAAAATATAGATACAAAAATGCATCTGTTGTCTTTTTTTATCAAAATCTAAATTTACAAAACATGATGCTGACACACAGAACCTCTTAAAATGAGACTTGAATAATGCATCAACATGACCCGCTCCAGGTGAATAATATGAGCAATGTATTTCAATCGGTATGCGCAAGGATTTCTGTTTACCAAACCAACAGAGGTGATTTAGCAAGAATCAAAAGGGCTGGATTTCTAAAAAAAGAATTTTCCGGTGTTCGAACATTCATCTCTCTCAGTGCTCATGCCATACCTCTCATTGTTTAGTAACCAGTACGGCAACCACAGTGCTGTAAAGAGACTATTTTCTGTGTGATCTAACGTGTTTTTTAAATGCATAGCTCATTTTATAAAAGCAAGCTAATTCATTACTAGTGAAATCAGATAGGATGGTTAAACTATCTTTAGGCTGAAATATTTAACAGAGGGAAATTATTTTATTGGTTTTCTTTAGTGTACCTTCATAGCATGAAAGGTAAACTCTCAAGTGTCTCCCAGAGTGCAGGATCTTCTCCCGGAAAAGGTCAGTTTTGTTGAGGAACAAAATCTGCAAGATATTTGCATGGAGATAAATGAGCACAAAAGATATGTTTAAGGCAAACACGTGGATAATTAAAGTCTTCATTTTAAATGACACCCTTTAAATAAATAAATGAAAAAAAGTTTAATAGGAAAGGGTTGAGATCAAAATGCAAATCAAATGTTTAATGGTCTTTGTTTTCATTTGAATCTGTGGCTTATTAGCAACCAGAGTCACATTTTAAAAACATGACTCACAGAGAGATGGATGAGTATCAAGTGTCTGTGGTCACATTTCATAAAGTGAGTGAGAATGAAATGACCAGTAAAATATAATCTCTTTGCTGTGTGGTCTTTAAGGCTATTTACTGTAATCTCTCTACCTCAAAAGAGATGTGCAACAAGAGTGCTGTGGAGAGACTATACAGTAAAAGTAACGGGAACTGTTTGATCCAACTGGACTTCAGGACTAAAATGGTTGTAAATAGGGGAGCTGTATCAGTACTTGCCCAAAAAAAGTAATATGTTTTGCCTGTTTTATAATTTGGCTGACTAATTTGATAGACATTACATAGATGTAAATCACTATTCGTTAATGCAGTGACATTAACGGCACCTTTGCCAAAGGACTACAAATTACATGCTGAAAATAACCATTTCATACTTCATTTTAAACTGCTGAGTATCATCTTTTTTAATAATTAGCATTTTATGATTAAAGAAGCAAGTAATCCTAAAAAACGTCTAAAATCTTCTCTATTCTATAGTAGTGTTTATATATATATCCTAACTTTCCTGTATAATCTGTATATAGTTTTCCTATTTATTTTATAGCCTCTTACAATTACTCTCTGTTTATATATGCCATCTATACTCAATACATACATAGTCTATGTGCACATAAATATCTATATCCTATATAGCACTTCTGGATAGATGCAAACTATGGTACATTTCGTGGCTTTGTACTTGTAACAGTGTAATGACAATAAAGTTGAATTCTATTCTATTTATATTTTTGTTTAAATTATTGTTTTTTTTTCCAAAAACATGTGGTAAATAGCAAATCATCTTTACATTCAGTCAGTTTTTTTCTTATGAAAAGTAAAAGATTAAAACCCCAAATCAGAACACAGTAACCAAGTTACAACAATTTCTGATCTTTAGATGATTATGATAGATAATAGAAAACGACTTTAATGTAATTCAGTTTTAAAGGCAAATCCAAAGCTGATGCTGGGTGCTGAATATTTCATGCAGAATTTTCGGGTTTTAACAAATCCGGAACAGAAAGGCCAGAACAGCAAAAGTATGATATGGAGATGAGGCAACGTGACAAGCACTAAAGAGGATTCAGTCCTTGTTTACCATTTCACTTCATGCCCAAAACACCCGAATGCTGTCTGCACACAGTAAAGTACAAGCATAAAGACTTGGTCTCCAGGTGGTGAAATTGGTCTTAGTTTATTGGTGATATAATAAGGTCTCCTCACTTTGCATATGTAGGACAACTACAGAGAACAGTTGGTGTGTGTGTGAATAACCATAATTCAACAGTACCCTTGAGAAGCCTTGTTTGACCATTAAATCCAATATAATTAAAGTTCCTGCTTAAATAGCACATAAAATATCAAGTAATCTCTAGCCACACTACAGTTCATTTAGCTCTAACCACCTCTTCTGACTTTTTCTCCACACCAAAAGAGACAAAAAGAACTGGGAACACAGCACTAAGAGGTAATTCATCCAATTATTCAGGCATTATTTAAGGGCTAAGAATCTTGCTTAGGTTGGCACTCTGGGATTCAAACTGGAGATCTACAAACCTCCCCATACCAGAAGTGGCCTAGCTCTAACCAGTATTTTGGCTCCCTCTGAATGCATTTTTGTTTTTTATGGATTTTATTTCAGGGTATTAGAATGAAGAAGGTTTGTAACACAAATACAAATAAACCTCTCAGATTGCTTATAAAGTAAACTTACCAGGGAGTTTTTCTGGAACACTTTGTTAGAGCATACTGATGAAAATAGTTCAAGACTTTCCTGAAGTCGATTCTATGAATAGAACATGAGAGCAGGTAGACTGAGATAAAAAAAAAAAAAAAAAATATATATATATATATATATATATATATATATATATATATATATATATATATATATATATATATATATATATATAATAATAATAATAAGATAAATACATCTGTTAATGCTTTAATAATTTATAAACCTACCATTGATGGATCCTCCAGCAGAGTCTGATCATAGGAAGTGAGGGCCACAACAAACAGCACAGCGTGGATAGAATCAAAGCAACTCAGCCACTTCCTCCTCTCACTCCGCTGGCCTCCAACATCATACAGTCTGTCAACATGCAACAAATAAACTCAATTTTAATTGTTAGAAATTTAAAAGATACATCTAAGCCTCAGCGTTCAGTTAGCGACCCTCCAGGCATTAGCAGATCTTACGAAACTATTCTGTATGAAAACAAATGGACAATCAAAGTAGTTTTATTCCCAATCAAATTCACTATAGCAATAAAACAATATTCCAAACACTGAAGACAATTTGTTCAACAGAGTGGCTCCTGAGGGTCTCGGTGACACAGTTAATGAGTTTCAATTTGGACCAAAGAGTCTCCAGGTGCAAGATTGCCATCCGCATGTCACCTGCGACGAGGCATTTATCCTCTGAGTCAGTTTTATCAAGCTGCAGGAGGATAAGTGTTAACTGACAGCAGTGGTTAAAGCAGTAGAGAGAGAAAAACCAGATCAAAATGTCCTGATGTTCAATTATATACTTTATCTGATTTAGTTTATTATATTTTAAATATCTAATCACGTTTAAATAAAAAATACCAGGACAAAAAAAGAAAATTGGTTATTAAACTTATATATTTAAAGTTGTTTAGTTAAAAGTTTTGAATCAGATATGTTACAAAAAGGCGTTTTAAACCCTTTGTCTATCAAATAATATTGTGTCTTTTTTACTTTTGAGGTTCTGATTATTAAAGTATTTTCCCCAAATTAAACTTTTAATGAGGTACGTTTGGGAATAAAAGATTTGGCTATCTAATAAAAGTAGCCAAAGGATGCCAGAAATCATTAAATCACTGAAATGCTCAAGAATTTTCATGAATAAAAGTTTGAGGCCATTATTATTTCCTCATTTAATTTCAGTGATCTGTCAGAAGCTTGTTCTTTTTTCTGCTGAAATCGCTTGATGAGTTGTTGGAGAGTCTTCATAAGTTAAACAAATCAGGAAGAAACAGCAGCAAGTTTTCATTGTTAATATGGATCACAATGTCTGTTATATTGACTCTTTGAGTGTGCCCCTTTAAGGCGGATCAGGGGCCCAACAGCTGATTGGCTGGTACCTACATTATTTGATTAGCACTTGTTGTTCTATACTAATTCATAAAGCAATCAAAAGATTTTAGTTTGTTTTCTACATCTACAAGGTCATTTTTGGCTTTATAAAACAGTGCTACAACTACCAACAATGTTTTAGCATCTTCAATACAGAAATTACGATGAAATTTGTTGTAGATTTGTTTAAAGCTGCAATCACAACAACGGTTTCAGACGTTAAAAACCTCCTTTCAACATTTCGATCACTTGTGCATTTTTTATGTGAATTAAAGGACTTCTTTTATTATTATTCTAATATACCCAGTTTCTAAGATTTCCCTAGAAATTAGATTAAGGCTAATTTCAGAGTCACAATGGCTTGACTTACAGTCTTAAAAAATAGAGGAAATCCCCTCCCCCTCAAACAGAAGTTATGCATAGAATAATAAATAAGATCATTTTCCAGTCTCACACATTGAAGAATGCCAATATATTATAAGGATTAATTGTGACATCTTACCTAAAGATTGTTTCTTCAACTTGAAAGTGCGTCTCAATGATTCCACAGGTTCTCACTCTGACCCTCAGAACATCGGCTTCAGTGGGAATGTAGGCAGGGGAGATGATTCGACTTATATTTTCAAAAAAGCTGCAGATGATGAGGAGAACAAGAAGCTTTTTGCTAACAAAATACACAAAAAATTTCTTTTTTAATATATTTGCTTTAATTTTGATAATTTTTATAAATTCGTGAACCATTTTAGCTCACAAACATACTCAGGGAAACTTTCTAAATATGTTTTTTGCAATATACAGTACATTTTAATAAAGTTTCCTTTAATGTAATCTGGGAGTAAATGAAAGTGCAGGAACAACTAAACTAAGGTCTCATCTTATGGAAGCATAAGTGAGAATAGAAATCTTCCTATGAAAGTGATTCATGATGTCATGGGGTTCATGATGTGACTCAGTGTAATAAAGTTACCATTTGTGACAAGATGAACACATCTGCAAAGTTTTACTCCAAAGTAATTAATTTCTGTTTTAGACAAAAAGAGTATTTTTCCTTTTCTAAATGCAACAGTAAATCTTGTAGAGCATTTTATCAACTTAAAATTTCTGCAAATTTTTCATGATCTATTCCACAAACAAGAAAACAGCACAGATTTTTATTAGCAGATTAACCGAGTTTCATTCTGTTCAGGTTTCCTTTGGATTGAAATTGACTTTGTATTCAACTGGCTTTTAATCTTAAGTTATGATTGCAGAGTGACTTTGATGTATAGGAAGTGAATTCAACATAAGTGGATATAGATTTTGAAATGCCCCGAAGATGACATTTGCTGTGAATTTAGTCATATAAACTAAATTGATTTTAAAGATTTGGAGAAAAGAGAAAAAAATTTGAGCAACCTGATTTAAATGTTAGTATCCCTGATAGCTTCAAAGGCTTATATCTTTAATTACACTGAGTAAGTGGTAAGCTTACTTTGACACACCTAACAATCATAGATAATGCACTGTAAGGACAGATTTTCTTTCAGCAACATTAACCACTCACTTCAATCCAACGGTACCATCAGAGAAGTCATTTTACACATTTGGGTGCCTGGGGATGTCAAGTGTGTCACGACACAGTCTGATCCAACATTTCTGGAGGGAGGAATCAATGCCAGGTCCGGCAAGGTGAGATCACTGAAAGAGAGCTAGGCCAGTCTCATATAATCCCCCAGCAACTGACTTTATCGAGTTCCAGTAATGAAGCTGTCACACCTCCGTCCTTTCTCCGTCTGACCACCTGGAGTAGATTTTATCTTGACTGATCGCCTTCCTGTTGCCTCAAAGATAAGAAGTCCAATTCTGCCCACTGAGTGCACATTTATTTAAAAAATAAATTTTTACCTTTAAGAAACAACTCCAGTTTTAACTATTTGTCCACTCCAACATCAATTTTTTATTATATATTGCTTTGCACAAGTTCAAATTAGAGGTTACTTTTCTTTCTTTAGATGATGATGCAGCACATACAGGTGCTGGTCATAAAATTAGAATATCATGAAAAAGTAGATTGATTTCAGTAATTCCATTTAAAAAGTGAAACTTGTATATTATATTCATACATTACATACAAACTCATATATTTCAGATGTTTATTTTGTTTAATTTTGATGATTACAAATGACAACAAATGAAAATCTCAAATTCATCATATCAGAAAATTAGAATATTGTGAAAAGGTTCAAAATTGATGGCCCCTGGTGCCACACTCTAATCAGCTAATTAACTCAAACCACCTGCAAAAGCCTTTAAATGGTCTTTCAGTCTAGTTCTATAGGCTACACAATCATGGGGAAGACTGCTGACTTGACAGTTGTCCAAAAGACGACCATCGACACCTTGCACAAGGAGGGCAAGACACAAAAGGTCATCGCTAAAGAGGCTGGCTGTTCACAGAGCTCAGTGTCCAAGCACATTAATAGTCAGGCGAAGGGAAGGAAAAGATGTGGTCGAAAAGAGTGTACAAGCAAGAGAGATAACCGCACCCTGGAGAGGATTGTGAAACAAAACCCATTCAAAAATGTGGGGGAGATTCACAAAGAGTGGACTGCAGCTGGAGTGAGTGCTTCAAGAACCACCACACACAGACGTATGAAAGACATGGGTTTCTGCTGTCGCATTCCTTGTGTCAAGCCACTCTTGAACCACAGACAGCATCAGAAGCGTCTTGCCTGGGCTAAAGAGAAACAGGACTGGACTGCTGGTGAGTGGTCCAAAGTCATGTTCTCTGATGAAAGTAAATTTTGCATTTCCTTTGGAAATCAAGGTCCCAGAGTCTAGAGGAAAAGAAGAGAGGCACTTCATCCACGTTGCTTGAAGTCCAGTGTAAAGTTTCCACAGTCAGTGATGGTTTGGGGTGCCATGTCATCTGCTGGTGTTGGTCCATTGTGTTTTCTGAGGTCCAGGGTCAACGCAGCCACATACTAGGAAGTTTTAGAGCACTTCATGCTTCCTGCAGCTGACCAACTTTTTGGAGATGCAGATTTCATTTTCCAACAGGACTTGGCACCTGCACACAGTGCCAAAGCTACCAGTACCTGGTTGAAGGACCATGGTATCCCTGTTCTTAATTGGCCAGCAAACTCTCCTGACCTTAACCCCATAGAAAATCTATGGGGTATTGTGAAGAAGAAGATGCAATACACCAGACCCAACAATTCAGAAGAGCTAAAAGCCACTATTAGAGCAACCTGGGCTATCATAACACCTGAGCAGTGCCACAGACTGATCGACTCCATGCCACGCCGCATTGCTGCAGTAATACAGGCCAAAGGAGGCCCAACTAAATACTGAGTGCTGTACATGCTCATACTTTTCATGTTCATACTTTTCAGTTGGCCAACATTTCTATAAATCCTTTGTTTTTATTGGTCTTCAGTAATATTCTAATTTTCTGATATGATGAATTTGAGATTTTCATTTGTTGTCATTTGTAATCATCAAAATTAAACAAAATAAACATCTGAAATATGAGTTTGTATGTAATGTATGAATATAATATACAAGTTTCACTTTTTAAATGGAATTACTGAAATCAATCTACTTTTTCATGATATTCTAATTTTATGACCAGCACCTGTAGAACTCATCAAAATACTGAGTACAAAGCAGCAAGGTAGGATTTAATAACATTGTGTAGGCCACTCTGCTTTTAATTTACTTAAAAGCGCATCAATGCATTAACAGAGAACAGAGAATGAAGAAAAACAATTGTTCTGATAAAACAGGGAAATAACTAAGTGTTTTGCAAGAGCAAGATCACAAAGCTCAGGGTGAACCTTTTTGGAAAGAGACAAACTTAAAGTAAAGTCATGCTGTCGAGTAAAGAGAAAATAGTTTTCTGGCCTTCTTTTTACAAGTCAAAACTGAAAAGTGTGGGATTTAGTTGAACACCATTAAATCAAAAATCCAATCCATTGTCTGGATATGGGAAGAATGTTTGAAGCAACTTACCAAGATACAAAACCCCCTTTAACTAAAAAGAGAAAGGGGGGTTACTCAAAGAAACTACCAACAATCCCTTTGAAATTTTGGAGGACCTGCAAAGCTCAGGTTGGTAAATCTATTGAAAGCACAACTTGTACGTGTTTACCTTATATATATATCTCTCCCTTATCAAAAATAAAAAAAAAGATATATATTGTTGAAAGACAGCAATTATAGGTCCTGTTTAAAGTTTGCCGAATAGCACATAGATCCTGAACTTGATATCTATATGTGAAACACGGCATTGCCCGTGTCATGCTATGGGGGTCCTTTGCTGCCACAGCAACAAAGAAGCCTGTTGGAGTTTATGGGGCGGCAGATGGAGCTAAATAAAGGGCAGTCATGTGAGAAAACCTTAAACTGAGAGCAAAACACTTAGAGCTGGGGCAGAGGTTAACCTCCCAGCAACACTAAGGTTACAGCCAGAGCTCGATTGGAATGGTTTAAATCAGAGGTCTCAAGCAGTGGTCCTCAATATCTACTGTCCTGCAGATTTTAGATGCTTCCCTGCTCCAAGTCAGCTAATTCAAACAACCGAGTTACACTTCAGCATGCCATCAACTCTGGAAGAAGGCCTTACAAGCCATAAATTTGACTCTAGAGGACTTGAGGACCAGTGTTGAAGACCTCTGTCTCAAATGAATATTCATTTATATGCAAGAATGGATAAGTCAAAATTTGTGCCAAGACTTTGCTGATGCAAATGCTGATTTGTTTGTTTTTTACTTTGATCCATCTTAAAAGGTAAGTACAAAGATCATTGAGGGTGGGTAGGTTAAAAAAAAAAAAAAAAAAAGATTGCCCTGTTTTTGGGGGCAACAGTGGCGTTTGGGCGCAGGAGTTTATCCTGCAACCGAAGGGTGGTCGATTCAAGACATTTTGGCTTTCAGTGTCATCGTGTCCTTGAACAAGACACTTCACCTGCATTGCCTATTGATGGTGGTCAGGAACTGATGGCGCCAGTGTACGGCAGCGTCGCTTCTGTCAATGAGCCCCAGGGAAGCTGTGGTTACAATGTAATTTGCTACCATCAGTGTGTGAGTGAATGGGTGAACGACTGAATGCAGTGTAAAGTACTTTGGTCAAGTCTGCTGACTTGAAAAAAAGTGTTATATAAGAACAGAACTTGTGGTGAAACGTCAAATAAATAATCTTAATAGGATGCAATGAAGTATTTACAGGAAAATAATTAAATCTTCACATTTAAGCTTTACCTTTAAAACCAAGATTAACATATATGATGCTATTTGGCTTCTCATTAAACATGAAAACAGTCTCTTTAATCAGGTTTGTTTTATCTGCTCCACCTGCATTCCCCTCTATGTGGATATCTGCAAATAGATCTTTTCTTAATTTGATGTGTTTCCAATTAAGCCTCCTGTTCCTCAAATGTCACAGAAATCATTTCCTGAGGAGAGTTATTCTCAGCGCTGCTTTTACCATTTGCTTTTAATTGACAATGTGACTACACACTTCTTACTGGGCAATTTCCCTTGACATTTCCACTGTTGGTCATAAGAGGGAAGGCGTGGTGCAAGGTAAATCACCTGAGATTGATGTACTCACTAGAGGGCAGAGTCGTTCAGCTCGTACTCGTATCCTCTGGCTACAGCAGCCCTCACCCCTGGGTCGGACCAAAGAGCACAGAAGGCTTGGGCGACAAAAGGGAGCAGCTCCTGGTCGTCTCCCAAACACTGGCTGCAGGACAAAATGGAGCGAGCCTGGATCTGATTTAAAAAAGGGAGATAATCTAACTTATATGAGGAAAAATACAATGCCAGGATTTTAACTTGGAAAAAAAAATCTATATTTAAAGTCCTCCCATGTCAACACTTGTGATGTTTTTTTTTTTGTTTTTGTTTTTTTACAGCCCGTGAAAATCCAAAGTTGTGTTTCTAAAAATCTATCAATTACCCAAAAAAAATCCCAGGCTAATCCCGTCGGAAAAAGGCTAAGCAAAAAAGATCTTTGCTAAGGAAGCTGATTTTTTTTTTTTTTTTTTTTACAGTGTTTTAAACAAACCTTTTAATAGAAAGACTAACATATGATGTATTCAGGACTTGGGCTAAAACTACGACACCCCTCATGTTCAAATCACTTCTTAAAAAGGGATTGTGTCAGAGGGACTTCACATAAGCCAAAGAGAGAAAGACCTAGACTGAAGAGGCTGTATTTAAGGTTGTTGAGAGGCAGACAAAGATACCATATAACAATGCAGACAGGTTAATTTAAGCATGTGTTCTTCCTTTACATCTCAGCAGAGCCACATGCTAATCTTATCTATGCTGAGCTGCACTGATGCAGTTTTTCCTGCAGGAAGATCCCTGGCTACATATTGAGTGAAGTTTTGTACATTTTTTTAAATCTTAACATTAACATTTATTGTAGCAACCATCAAATTGCCTCCAATTGTGATGGCTTGTAGCTGCAGGAAATCCAGGCCCTAACATGGTCAAAAGGCCAGACTGGGAGATAAGTTTGTGAACGCTTTCATTTATTATACACACAATAAATACTAAATGCAATCCAAATTCCTGGGTGGTGGTCTATGGCAGCACGCAAAGAAAGTGGTAATATTGATCAAAATGTGGATATAATGAAGCAAACCAGTATAAAACAGAGAGTGGTAAAAAAAAAAAAAACATGTGATCTCCCCACAAGAATATGGGTCAGAGAGACAATTCATATAGAAACCAAACACCTCTACCAAACCAAAATATCCAAACTATGCCCAAACACAGAAACTAACCAACTAACCAACTGTCTGAGAAACCCTGGGGGGGGAAAAATCAATGTTTGCAACAAAACACAAGTTTTGAACCTCATTAATCATCGAGATAAACTCAAGAAAAAATTAAATTTTTTATTCAGTGTGGATACAAAATATTTCCCACCAAAATCTGATCCAGATTTCTGTTTGGCACAGATGAATGATAAATACTTTTATGTCTTGCTGAAAGCCAGAACACAACTTAGGCTATATAATGTAGCAAAATGGCAATTCCACTTTAGTGCATCAAGTGTAAAACAAAATATCTATATTTATTTGATTCAAATATGCCACAGAAAAATTTTAATCCAAACACTGATAAGAACTTGATTCTAATTCTTATAGAGGCAGAGAGGGACACCTAGTGTAATAAATAGGAGGTGCATCAAAGCAGAGCATTAAAGAAGCACTGAGATTTTGTGCCTTACCTTGTTCTTCTTGTATGCAAGGTTTATCCTCAGCTTGCCCATTCCATGCAGAACAATCTTTATGGAGGTGAGAAGGTTATCCAGCACTGCAGGCTTTGAAAACATTTATTCATTGCATTTCTGTTTAATTGTAATTTGCTGCTAAAGAATCAGTATAGAGTTGTCAGGTTGGATACCGTTCTATGAGTGTTTGGTACCTTGAAACTGAGAAGTTCCTGTGTGGAGAAGCCGCTGCTCTGTATTATCTTGATTTGTTTGATTATTGTGCTCTTTCCACTTTCTGCAACTCCTGCCATACAAAACAAATGGCTTTTTTAGGATCAATAAAGCAAGTTTACTAAACATCTACTTGGGTGGGGTCGACCTGGTGGAACCTTTTTAAATGATGACCTTCCAGCTGATATCTTCTCAGGTTTTACTGTACTTGCACATTTAAATTTATGCTCAAACTGTTGCTTTTTGTAATTTATTTATTTTAAAAATGTATAAATATCTTAAGCTTACAAGTATGTATTCAGCAACAATAAATGTACCTTACAATAGCTGCATTCTCAGTCCTAGCTGCAATTAAATATTTTTCAATTAAATTTGAGGGGGTTGTCCTTAAAGAGCACGTTTTTGACAAATGTTAAAATGCTGAAAATTGTGAAGGACCACTAAAGGATTTAAGATTAACACACCAAGCATTAGGATTTTGATGACATCACTTTCCACCCTGGCATGTTCACAAAGGTCCTGTTCAATGACGGAGTTCTTCATTTTGGCTTTTTTACTCTCCTCTGAGACATCCTGCTGGAGGCATATTCCAAGGCAGATCTAAGGAAACAGGAAAATGTCTGCATCTTAATCCAAGTCATGTTTAAGTACCAGAAAACAAGAAGATCTTTTTTCCAAATCTTGCAAAACAAAAGGAACTGTCTCCATTGAAATGTTGGATGTCAGGAAGGCATCAGTGCTTAGGTTAGTAGAAAAACAGAAATGTGATATATTTCAAAAGTCATTTAAGAATAAAAAATCCCCAGAATCAGTCCACCAGTGGTTCAAAACATAGGGAAGTGTTTGGGAAAGAAAAAATAATTTTCCAAATAAATTCCAGGAAGACAAAAAAGAAATTGATCAAACATATTTTGATACATACCTTTAGAGGCAGAGGGAGAATTTTCAAACAACAAAACATCCCTCTATTTTCCTTTTTTTTCCAGCAGAGTTTTGTTGTTCTATTAGTCAAGCAAGCAAAAAAAGGAGGCTGTAATTTGCTTAATTAGACACATGCTGGAACTGCAGTCTGTCAAAATAAAAGCACCTGCCACATAACTTCCTTCAAAATAAAACTACAATTTTAACCAGCTTGTTATGTAAATGTCAGAGTAGGATGTGCCCCTCAACCATCAGCATCAACATTAGTACTTCAGTAGAAGTATTGATACTCATAATCAAATCTTACTTAAAAGTAAAAGTTACTTGTTCAAACATCTACTCAAGTTAAAGTATTAAAGTACTCCATTTTGAAAATACTGAAGTGTTCAAACGTACATGTACTTAAAAGTACTAAAGTGTTCAAAAGTAAAAATCTGATTTTCTAATATCAGTACATTTCTGTTTAATTTGCAGAATAATTTTAAAGAGTCTTGTAACTTTAATAAACCACCTCATGTATTCTTGCATAAAACCAACTGCTATAAATTCTACACCACCTGTGAAGAATTTAAGCATAAAAAAGCCACAAGCTATTTTAAAAGCTTTTTTTTATTTTAAAAGCTGTTTATTATAGCTAAAAATGTAATATTTTTAATAAATTTATAATAGCTAAAAAACAAAAAAGGAGTGTCTTGATTCTTCTCACACTTTCGCTAGGATAGAGGCTTAAGGTTGAACCTATTACTGCAAAGAAACCTAAACTCTGTTATTGGAACTCATCCTACTGAACAACCTGGTCACGTGGCAACAACTAACTCATTTTTAAAATTATACATTACAAAAAAATATCTGCCCTGAGTTTATGACATTTGTGTAACTTCATGCAGATCTCTAAAATAGTGGTATCCAGAAAGAAAAACAGCAACAGTGGATTAAAGAGCTAAGCTGAGCCAAAATTAACAAGTGTCTAACAGCTTCCTTATGTAGTAGAATAGAAAGTACAATATTTGACTTTGAAAGTCTCCCCAGAAAATGACTTAAGTAAAGATACTTTAAACAAGTACTTAAGTTCAGTAATCAAGTAAATGTTTGTTACTTTCCACCACTGGCCACCAGTATTTATCATCAGAATAGTGAATATGGAGAATTTCACCTTGTGACCTTTAACCAGTTATAAATGTTCAGTATTATCACAGTTGGAAATGTGGACCATGTATTTTTATGCAGCATCTTTAGTCATTACTTTGTAATCTTATGAAGAAAATACTATTTTGTCCTTATTACTGTGCAAAATAATACAACCTCAGTCAAACCGGATGAGAATGGACAAGGCAAAAAGTTTCAATCTGCCACTTTAGATTACATAACTAACTCCTCAGAGTTACCTCAGCCCAATTAATTGCTCTCTGTTCAATCTTCTCCTTACTCTACTAATCATCTTCGCTGGACAACGTTGTCTGGAGAGGTTTCCAGTTGTGCCAAAGTCTTTTCATTTTTGAATGATGTATATAGAACAGTAATTTATATGATTATTGATTTTGTTTTTTAACTTAACTCTGTTTGTGTTTCAGGCTTTCACAGAAAACAGATTCTGTTATTAAGTAGGTGACTTCTGAAACTAGTTGGAAAAAGTATTTTTAAACCAAATGAATTCGCATTTTTAAACTATGTTTATAAAAATCCTAATTATTTTCATATACTAATCAAAAATACATTATATATAATTCATAATATATATAATAATAACTTAATGAAATAGACAAAAAGAGAAGAAAACTGTCTTTCAGAAAGTATTTTTTATCAGCAATAATATACTGTAAATCCAGTCGACTTCTTTATAAAGTATTTCCTTGGGAAGGAATCAATAACATACAGGTCATAGGCTACACTAACTTCATCTCATCTTGACATACGATGTATTATGCTTTTAAAACATTACATTACTATCTTTACAGTACAGCAGCTAATGGAATTGAGTACATACAGTATATGAGGCTACTACAAAAAAATATATATTATTTGATCTCATTTAATATCCACCGATGTTAGAATCCTTAGGATTTAGGAGAAGTAGGAAATCTAATTCATCACCATGGTAACACTCTAACATTAATCTCCACTCATGCAATGAAAACCAAAGTTAAAGCAGGCAGTTTTATCATTTCATAAATGTAGTATTTAAGGTTTAAAAACTTGCACTCAAAAGGCAAGACCTTCAGGTCTTAACATTTCATTGTGATTAAAAAAAAGACAAACAGAACAGTTCAGATGATTTCTGAGCAGTCAGTGCAGAGTGGAGCACATGAGGTCCCAATAGTTTAAGCCTATTAGCTGCACAGAAACACAGGGGCATGTGTCCCTCATTTTCTGCCAAGATTGTAAAACTCTCACACACTTTGACACAATATATACACACCTTCAACAGTTAGGGTTACCGTAGGACTATTGCTGTGCAAAAAGCAGCAACAGCTCAGTTGAGGTGACCAATCCATTTACTTTCTTGTTAGATAAATAAATCTTTGACCCACATCTCCAACCTGCACTCTTAAGTGTTTAAAACTAAAATAAACTTTTAAATTTTTTCCACTGTTAAAAGGCAAAAAAAATATAAAATGTTAGAATATTAAAAGGCATATATTAGAATTTTAAATGTATGGATGCATTACATGTTTCTTGCTCTGGATTATTAACACCTAATGGTCCCACAGCAGGTTTAATATCCTTTTACTGTAAATACTGCTGATATAATCTAGTGGTGCCATAACACTTATGACAGGTTTGCTATAGAGAAGTGTATATCGATGTAGCTTGTTAATGTTGGGTCGGAACCACAGATGGAGACACATGTCTACATCAGAGCTTGGGGTCGTCCTTCAATCTTCTCCTCTTGTCGCTTCATGGCCTGGATCACAGCGATCTCTTTGGCTTCTTTCTTTTTGTTCCTTGCTTCAAATAGTAGCCTGAAGGTAACAAAAACAAACAAATAGAAATAACAAGGAGAAATAAAAATCTGCAAGGTTTTTTAATAAAATTTTATTTTTATAACAAAAAAACTGTTAAAAGATGAAGATTTCAACTTAAAGTGATCTAGAATGAGAAAAAAAATTACTAAGGAAGATATCAATATAAGAATCAAGGGCTACAATTTATACAAGGCCAGTTCATTATTGTATTAGGTCTAATTATTATATAAAATATTAGAAAATGAGAGACTTTGGAAAAAGGATTTATTTATATCCTTTTATAGTACCTATTTCTGACACCATCACCTTTAACAAATAAACCTGCCTCAAGTCCTGCAAAATAGCTTTGAAAACAAGCACTTTTTTACAGCTATTTTAAATTGAATGAATTGAATGATACTTCAGAGTTCTACAAAGGTTTTAAATCTGAGATTTTTTCTGTTAGATAAAGGCTTAAACAAAGTGAAACGTTTGCATTTTGCTTTTAAATCTTTCTACCATGCAATGTTTTTGAAGTAAAACAATCAACACCACTTGCTAAAAAATGCATCACCTGTTTTTGATTATCCTTTGCATGATGGCATCTGTAGTAAGAGTGTTTCCACTGTCCACAGTTCGCAGGATGCCTCTTCTTCTTGGCTCCTGAAAATAAAGCAAAAATGATGAGACAAAATATCCCAGATCATCGTTGCAAAGATAAGAAGTTTGGCAGGAGAATGAGGTCTTACAGCGTAAGGGTCAGAGCCGTCCTTGTCGGGGTAGATTTCTGTCTTACCGTGGCAAACAAGATCCACCTGAAGACACAAACACAAGGATTTGCAGAAAAACTAACCTAAGAGTAAGAAATCTTTGCCGTTTTTCTACTTGCCTTAAAATGATCCAGCAGGTCTTTTGTGACAGCAAAAGGGGCGCCAATCACCACCTCTGATACATACTGTAACACCATGTGAAATACAAAAAATGAATCAAAACAGAGTCAAAATAGATATTTGATATGAGAGGAGAGGAGAAAAACCTACTCTGCAAGCCAGTACGCTGAGCGTTCTCTCATGGACATTCATGATGGGGTAATTTTTCCCTTTATAACGATTTACCTCCTGAGACACAGGAATATCTGTCAGACAGGCCAGGTATCTTAAATACAATATTATTATACATTTTCGGTTATATTAGAAAAAAAAAAATGGTTAAAAAGCTTCACCTGATCAAAGTGTAACCCCACTATGATGTACGGCTTTTCAGCAAGCTTATGGACCACTTCCAGGAAATCAACATGGCCGATGTCTGACAGAACCATCATTAAGGAAAACAATGGTTTTCATAAAAAACAGCAAATGACTTTATTTTAAAACTGTAATAACATACTGTTAGTTGACATAGTGCTTGTATGTAACACTATAATAAGAAGAAATGTCTGCAAAGCACAAAAACAATAACAAATCTGACAAAAAAAGATGTTTAAGCCAACATTTCCAATAAATGCAATCTTAATATGACAGTAAAACATTTCTCATTCATTGCTGATTTTCCTGAAATGGCTGTAGCTGTACATTCCAAAATGTTATTTTGCTCAAAACAGTATTAACAAGTGTGTATGTGTTTTTTGGTTTATATCCTCTTTACATTATCCATGCTGCCACATAATCAGATGTCTAATCTTTTTCTGTGTTCTGGCTTTTTTCTGAATTTATTTTACTTTATGTCTTTTTTAATAATCTTCCTAATACTAATTCCATACAGCACTGCCAGCATATAATATGTGTTTTAGAGACTACAGTCATTCAGCATGAACATATCAGTCATGCTTGAAAGTTTACATACCCTTCCATTAGAGAAAAAGATTAAATCACAGTAGTAAGTCAAATAAAGCTAAACTGAAAAATGTAAATTAATAAAAAAAATTTGAAATTATAATTAAGTAAAATAAAATATAATTTTTGTTAAAAAAAAAAATAATTCTAACAAACGACAAAAAAGACACATGAAAGCACCTTACTCATGAACAGTGAACCACCATACCCGTCAACAGGTAAGACACCTGATTTCAGCAATAGCCTGAGTGTTGCTCCAAAAAGTGTATATATATATATATATATATATATATATATATATATATATATATATATATATATATAAATCATCACTAATGTGGTGTGCATAGAACTAAATTTCTTAATTTAGAAAAAGATACGAAAGAGGTCAAAGGCTCCTGCGACGTAGATGATTGTGTCTCCGGGTTGAGGCTCCTGGCCTGAGGCGAACTGAATTATCTTCTGAGAAGTCTGCAGGAACTGAGACACTCCTGTCCATGGGCTGTGGCCCTTCTGCAGATGTCACCAAACAACCATGCAAATGAGCATTATGGAGGAAAATTAAAACAGGTTATATCTGCAAGTTTATAAGTGTTCAGTTATATTTAATAAATTAGAACAAGGAACTCCCATGAGGCTC